CCCAGGAGCTTCTTGTTCATCCACGGGGGCCCGTTGGTGTTTTTACCTGACTTCCTCTTTGTTGGGATGCATCGCTCCTGAGCTTGGAGGAGGTGACCTTTGAATATTAGCCAGCTGTCTTGGGCCCCTCTTCCTTCCAGGGCTTTGTCCCATGGTATTCTACCAAGCAGATCCCTGAAGAGGCCAAAGTCTGCTCTGCTGAAGTCCAGGGTAGTGAGCTTGCTGCGTGCTCTCCTCGCTGCCCTGAGGATCCTGAATTCCACCATTTCATGGTGACTGCAGCCAAGGCTACCCTTGAGCTTCACATCCCCTACCAGGCCCTCCTTATTGGTGAGAATAAGGTCCAGCATGGCACCTCTCCTTGTGGGCTTCTCTATCACTTGGAGGAGAAAGTTATCATCGACACCTTCCAGGAACTTGCTGGATTGCTTATGCTCTGCTGCATTGTCCCTCCAGGAGATGTCAGGGTGGTTGAGGGCCCCCATAAGGACCAGGGCTTGTGAGCGTGAGACTGCTCCTATCTGCCTATAGAGGGCTTCATCTGCTCAGTCCCCCTGGTCAGGTGGCCTGTAGCAGATCCCTGCTATGATGTCCCCTGCCCCAGCCCTCCCTTTAATCCTGACCCGTAGGCTCTTGGTCAGCTCCTCATCCATCCCCAGGTGGAGCTCCATGCTGCTGTTTCACCCTTGTGCGGAACGAATTCTGTAAATACTTGAGTAATCTTGAACAAGATCCTGACCACATGTAGGGTATTACTCTGCTAAACTACAAAGTAGTACTAGTGAAGAACATTGGAGAAGAACAGAATATTTTAATGCAAAAGCAAGTACCTGAAATTGGTGTGCGGATTAGCACCCTTGCTTTTAACAGGAGTAACTTCATATTATTCACATTCAAACAGCTCCTCTGTATTGGGTAGGAATTGAAACCTTTGTCACTTGTGTATAAGCATAAATAATTCTCTTAGATCTGTTGCAGCTGCAGACCTGTGTATAAACAGTATGTTGGTGATGTGCTCCTATACTCACCTAATAACCTCCTGGAAAATCAGGAGGCTGAAATATCTCATTTTCTGTCTCATATTAGCTTAAACTTTCCTTAACTGCTGTCTCAGTTGAAATATGTTTAAAAGCAAGTTATAGTCTTTATATGTGGTTTCAAAATAATTTGCTCCAAAACTTGGTATTTCTGTGTTCTGACCTTCCATGAAGGCAGATGCTTTTGCATGCACATCACTGATATCATATGCATGCTCTGTATGACCTAGGCTGGTGCAAAGTTCTGAATGATCTTGTACCTTTGGGGATGATTTGTCAAAAGAAATACCTGTAACTAATGATTCAATTACATCAAGTGCCCATGTGATGAACCTAGAGAATGCATATTTAAACACTATCAGGTATTTCAGTGAATGGCACCCTAGGAATGCTGGTTAGGGAACGTAACATGATTGAATCTGCTGTTGTGTTTTAAATGTGTTTTTTTTGGTCTGATGTGGATTTTTTTTAGGGAGGAAACTGCTTCCTCTGTTGTCTAAAGGTGAAAGGGCTATTGCAACTCTCAGTGCCTTCCCCTTTAAGTTGGACAGATACTGGTGCATATGTTAACTGTAAATGGATATGCAAATCTGGCGAAAAAGAGTTATTTGTCAAAGAACCACATTCAGGAATTAGAGGGGGTGCTTACTTTTCTTTGTTTACAGTTGGGACAGTACCACTGAATGTCAGAATTGCTTTAACTCTAGGTAATCTGGGTTTGGTAAAAATCCAGTTCTTGCCCTTTGCTTCTAGTCAGTACCGGATTTGGAGGGTTTGATGCCCCTGATAAAAATGCTGATGGTAAATAATTAGAATCAACTTTGTAGGCTAAGCTGTGGAAATGAGCTGTTGAAGAAAGCTCTTGTAGGTTAAGTTTGATGGTATTTGCTAAGTTAGCTTTGAAGTTGACTAATGTAAGATAGCAAAGCTTGGAAGATTTGTCTTTTTGTGTGGAGATATAAAAACACCTATTAGTAAAAAGATACATTTCTTTCCACTTTAGGGTGAGGAACTACCTCTGCGAAGTCAAATAAAAAATTACTATAATGCTTGATCATTCTGCATTTTAGTGTCTTTTAAGGGGGGGGGGGGGGGCAAAGATTATACCCTGTTACTTATGCAGGCATGTCCATCTTTGTATTATAAACTAGACAGTTATGTACCTCTCTAATTTAATATCTCTCTTTATGAAGTAAACGTTGTGATAAAATACATACAGCATTCGGTTTGACCTACTGCTGCTTTCATTTGTGTATGTGCAAGTCTTAAATAGATCAGTGTTAAAATGTTTAATATTCTGGTGCAAAGTTTTGAATAATCTTGTACTGTATGGAATAATTAATGAAAATCAATAGCTTTTATTAATGATTCAAATACGTAAGGTGCCCATATAGAGCATGGTGTTAGAGCATGTATCTTAAAATGTTGTCTAAATTGAGTATTTCGGTACATGCATATGTGTAGTTCTTATGGAGGTTAATGAGAAAAATACTGAATTTAAATCACTTTATGTTTTATTTTATGGGGAATAAATGGACTGATAAACCTTGAAGACTGATGGTCTTTGATGTCATGAATGGCCTTTTTTTCATTTTTCTAGAGGCTTAAATGTCTTTCTTGAGCTGCCCTGTGTACCAAAATAAAGGTCTGAGTTTGCCCTGCTTGGTTTCCCTAATTCCTTATCTCCCTATCATCATCCTAGTTGAAAAGTGTTTTGTTAATCTGATTTGGGTAGCTGAGAGGATTCCTTTTTGCTTGTAGAATTAGTGCCATGTCTTGGAGGACAAGGAACAAAATGGAAGAAAGGGAAAGCTATTTTTTATTAATTGTTTTAGATGACTATGCAAAATTACCTTTTTTTTTTAGGAGTATTGACTATGCACAAGAGGTATGTATTCTGTTAAAGAAACTCAGCACAAGTATTTTCATGTACAGTAACTTATTTTTACTTTCCTTACTCAGATTAATGAGAAGAGGAGAAAAAAAGTTTTAAAATTATTTTTATTTGCAGGTATGGGATAAGATCTTTCCAGAGTAAGAAGCATGGTTCGAGAACGAAAATGCATTTTATGTCACATTGCGTACAACTCAAAAAAGGTAAATAATGCTTTACATCTATTGGTAGATACTAATAGGAAATGCATGTAAGAAATTCTTTCATTTTAAAATTGTGCGAAGTATGAGGTTTTTTCCCTCTAACAGGTATATATTGATCTATGTCTGTCACAGATCAAATAATGTATTTGCATGTGTTTTGGAGTAACTTTCTTGATATGAGCTGTGCAGCATGCTTGATTCTGAATATAAAAATATTGAGGTCTTTGAGTTTTTTATATTGGTGTATAAAGACACTAAAGCGAACAGCACTGAAAGTCATTTGAGTATAAAGTGTAATGTGTTAAAAATACTGTAATACACTTTTTTTTTAAAATTCCTTTTGGGAGGTCTGTGTTTCCATATGGAAGGAGGATGTGGAATTATGCAGCACAGCATGTGTTTTCATTAATGCGTCAATTTAGTGTGTATCTTCTGCGTACTGCACATCATACAAAGCCTGCATTGAAACTGAGTGTTTCTTAATGGACCTTCATATATTGATTAGCCACATGGCACATGAATATCTTGCAAATGCCAATGTATTAATTCACACAACTCTTCAAGGTTGAAGATGTTGCTTTCCCTTTGCAGATGGGATTTCAAGGACTAAAGAGGATAGTATCTGTTCTTTGAAGGTTTCCACACACCAAGAGGAAGTTAAATCTTCTGAACTGCTTCCTTCTGCTGAATTATGAACATTCTTTCTCTTCCAGCAGCTCTCTTTGAATAGCGGTGAATTGTAACAGCACTGCAGTTCACAGATCAAGGTTGCTGTAAACAACACTGACATGTTATGTACGTCTGTTTCTGAAGTGCACCTAGCAGAGTAAAATAGTATGTAAAGATGAAATTACAGTTGTGTCACAATACAGAAAGACTGCTCAGATTGTGCCAGAAAACAGTGATTTAAGTACTGTGATTCTGAAGAGAGGTATCAATAAGGCTTTTAATAAAAATGATGATCAACAGTAATTTGTCAAAAATCAGTCTAATAAACTTTGCTGCATGCACTCCTGTTTGTTTTTCTCCTGGAATTCTGTTCCCCTTCTATTGAATTCTAATGACTCCTGTGTGTCCTTCCTCAGAAAGGTAACATTATATGACTTCCTGAGAGTGCGACTTGTGCTTTCATGGTCATAGAAATGGGAATGGCAGCTGGTACAGCCCTACAGGAGTAGAGTACACCTTCCTGCAAGGCAGGAGAGTTCTCAAAAGTGAGCTTTTCAAATATGATGCACCATTTTGTTTCGTTTTAACCAATTTTACTTTTTTCCCCCATGTTGAAGGAGATGGAAGAACACATGAGAAGCATGCTTCACCACAGAGAACTTGAAAACCTGAAGGGAAGGTATGAGAACAATCTTACATCCTTCCTCTCTGTGCATTTTGTATGTCACTTTCTGGAAGAACTCATGTCCTATTTCTCATACAAGCTGAATTGCACAATTTATTTTTATGCATCACTTAGTTGCATACCTTGTGATAAAGCTGGCAATGAACGTGTTCTCTTAATGTCAAAAACTCAGGAGACAAACAGTGATGTGGAAGAAAGCTCTCCTGTATTTCTTGGGCTGCAGTGAAATAAAATTAAAGAACATGGTTTTTAGGTCTTGGCACCTTCATGCTTGGTTTCTTGGAAGCACTAGAATTCTGCCTCTGGCAGAATTATGAACACTGGTATTTTCCTTTTTAAAATGTTTTTTAAAAGTTTTCAATGATGTAGAAACAATTGTCAATCTTTTAAACCACTGTGAGAAGACTGATTTCTTGGACGTAAAGTCAGCGTCTGCTTGAGTGACTGTCTTGTCCTCTGTCACCCTGGTCCAGTTGTTTGGTTAAGGGACCTAACCGTGGTGAATAGTGTTTTCCTTCTGGCTTCCTTGGTTTTATTTGCAACCTTTGGAAAACAGGAGGTAGCTAAAGGGTATTCAAATATCATCCTGATAATATGGAATCAGGTTGTAACCAGAGTGCACTTAAAAGTGCTTTCAGGTTTACAGGTTTTGAGGTAGCCAGAGAGATCAGATAGTCTGCACTTAAGTATTTGATCTACAGACTAATTTTTAATCATCTTGCAGCACAAACTTTATATGGAAATGGCAAATCTCTTTTAAACACCTTTTAAAAGGCTAAGAAGTGATCCTCTTTTTGACTCTTAGAAGCGTGGGAGATCCATTTTGTCAGGATATCTATCTTTTATCCAGGGAAGAAAAATTGTAGGGTAGTTCTGTTCACATGCTAGCTTTTCATTCATGTAGTTCTTATTCTGTTGTTTTGTGTAAGATGAGAGCAGCTGTTAGGGCTCCAGGCCCCTTTTAAAAATAGTTAACTATTAAAGAAAGGCTGAGTAAAATTAAGTCTCTGATCTGTGCTATGATGCCAGTGTAGTTAAGTTGTGCCAGGTTGAATTCTAGTAAAACTCTTAAACTGTTTTGTTTTATAATGTTTCAAAAGTAGAGCAAGTTAGAAACTCATTTCTCTTCAGTAACTTTTCATGTGCAAAGCATACGTATAGCTGCAGAAAAGTGTCCGCATTTGGAGTACAAGATTGTATTACATACATGCCACAAATGAAGACATTTGTTTGAGGCAGCTGTATAGTATTTTATACTACTGCTGTGATAATTGCTAAGTATTGCTCGAGTTTGTCTAAATCAGCACCTTAAAATGTTTATAGAGTAAGACTTCCAGAAAATCTGTAGCATACGTGTATGCCTGCTTGTATCTGCTAACATTTCAAATTCTCTCTCTAAAATAAAAAAATAACCCTTATTGCAGGACAATAAGTAAAAAGATACTACTTACCTTGAAGTGCATATGAAGTGTCAGTAAATAACCTCTGTTGCCTGTGTTCTAATTTCTGCTTCCATTTAATATTTGATTAATTTGTCTGAGATTTCACAGCAGGTTAGTAAACTGGGAAAAGAACTTCTGTCTTCAGAATCTCCATCATCAGCATGTCCTTAGGCAGGGGTTGTGTTGTCTATCAAAATGTTAAAATCTATTGGAAAGAAAATGAAAGAATCTTTTCCTCTTGAAATTAGATTTGGTTTAGTGGAATTCAGAAAATCTTCAAGTTGTCCAGATTAACAAAGTTGTTCTTGGGTCACGTTGAGAAAATGTATAAAAGCAGCTTTTTGGAAGCTATTTAATTTTTTTCAAATAAAAATTGCTTTGTAGTAAAGATGTAGGGCATAAAAATCATAAATTCCTCACATTCCCCACCATACATTTCTTGGTGGGTTTTTGTTTGTTTGTTCTGAATTCAGCTACTGACTTAAAGAAAACAAACCCCCAAAAACCCCAGATATTTTTGTTTTCTTCTCTGCTATGCCCCACACAACTGGGTCTTGGGAGCTAGGAACATTCTGAAAATGTGCCTGGGATCAAGCACATCATGCTATTGGATATCTGTCCTGTTGAGTGTGAAAAAGATTTGTTCTGTTACTGAACAGCTGGGAAGGGGTTGCTCAGAAACCCGGATGTCTTCTACACTAGAAGCTGACTACAGCTTCTAGTCAGCTAACCTGTAGAGCATTTCTGTTCTGGACTTTCTTCTTCCAACAATGATTCTGAGATCAGCTTAAGATGCCGAAATATGTGATATTTTATTTCTGGCATTCTTTGGTTTTGTTTTTTTTTTTTAATGACTCTTGAAGGTAGCAGTAATTTCTAGAAGTTATATATTGTGTCCACAGTGGCTGGCAAGTGATCTGACAATTCTTGGTTTTCCATTTCCATGAGATTGAAATGATATTAAGTTTGTTTCATCATCATTACATTTTCTATTGCTAAGGTAACTGTCTTCATTACTTCTTTCAGATGAATGCCTAGAAGACATTTGTTCTCAAAATGAATAATGAACATCATTTTTTGCTGTGCAGCAACAGCAGCCTTGTTATCTTCCCCTGTGCCTCTCCTCCTTCTTCCCATTTAAGTTTAGTAGAAGTCTTTTAGGAATCTCACAGCCTTGTAAAGCAAAAGGTACTCCAGGTAAAAAATGTGAAGCACAAGCAACAGCCTTGTGAGTGTGGCTGAATTGTGTAACAGAACAATACCATCAAAGTGTGTAGTATCGGGATCTTACTACCTTCAAATTTAACATCCAACTAGAAGTCACTTTTTAGACTTCCTGTAGGAAGAGTTAAAGGAAATGCACACATTGGTTGACGCTTTTCTCCTTTCAAAGTTAATTTAATAATCTCAAGGGCTAGAATCATTTTCTGAAACATTTTAATGCTTTTCTCTTTTTGAAGTCTTACTCCATGTGATATATAAGGAGAATTGGATGTCAAGTACAAAGCTTTAGTATGTTGTTTGTTTTTTGTTTTGTTTTTTTGTTTGCATTTTTTTTAAATTGAAGGTTAAATAATGCTCTTGTACAAGGGACATTGAATCTGACATCTGAAGTACGCGTCTACTAAATAAAGCTCTTGGATGTTTTCATACTGAGAATGCTTTTTGTTGTCATGTTTATTTCAAACTGCTTTTGACCTTCTTGTTGAACAACTAAGATTGTGTGGTGTTCCTGTATGGTAGGGAAATGTGTAGACATGATCAGTGTGTGTTGCGGAGTGTGCCCAGTTCTGGCTGATATGGGAAGGGAAGAACTGAAGGAAGTCTAAATTCTCTTAAGAGTAACTGTCTGAACTCTAGCCAATTAATTTTTAATTAAAGCAGTTGTTCATATAGAAAAAAAAAAGTGTAATTTTTTCTTTATGTTCATATAAATTAAGAGCAGGACAGAGAAGTCTAGCCACTACCCACTTGAGTCCTTTCTTTCCGGACTGTCAGTTGGTACAAGAGCCATAGCTTTGTAATTAGTAACTCGCAAGTTAGAAGTGATAGAGCCAAGTTCTTTGTCCTTAGGCCAGCTGCTAATACACCGGCTTTGTCTAAAATAAGTAAAACTTTGCATTTATTTAGTTAGTCTATGAATGAGGATGATGAAGGTTTTATGAAAGAATTGAGACATGGGTCTTATGAAGGATTTCAGTTCTTCTCCGAAACCTAGTTAGTACCACTGAGGTATGTTTCTCGTTGAAGTGTCCTTATGATTGAAGTGGAACGTTATGTAAAAACAACACCTCTTTCAGCAAGAAGCCAGCTTTCTATTTGCGGTTTGCCTTGTGTGATGACCTAAGTTAGAAATAAGTCTTATTAGCAATGCATAGCTGTGCCACTTGTGAGTGTGGAGAGGATTCTTCTGATGGCTTTAGTAAAATTTACTGATTCTATTGGTTATCTTTATTGGGTTAATGAGATAGCCCAAAGCACAACATATAGTATCTGGGCTTTGAATATTTATTAGTGAGTGTGAAGTGTGCAAAATGAAGCACACACCTCTCTGGAAAATGCAGACTAAATTTGTAAGCTACTGACTTTGTAAATGTAATTGATCCAAATGTTTCATCTGAAATTAATTAGGCTGTAACATACAAAATAATTAAATGTAAGAAGTGTAAGTTTTATGAATTAGTCTATTTAAGATAAAACCCTCTCTACCTGTGCCTGAATGACTGCATTGGCTAAATATCTTGACTATGTTAGTAGGAAACCCACAGATGTCCAGGATAAATAAAACATAGCTGCTGACACTCCATTAACCACTTCAATAAGGATGTTGCTTAATGTCTTGCGTGAAGGTGTATCTTTTGATCTCTTTCTCATTTTATTTTTAACTTCTCTCTAAATATTCATGTTTGTCTCTTTCCTTTATGGATCCCATTTTTTTTGCCCCCATCATGAACTGTGTGTTGGTAGTATAATGCTGCTGTTGTAATAGTTTGGTCTCAAGTGTGCCATGGGGATATGCAGATCTGCTTTTATGAATTAAATGGCAGAATTGAAGAAAGCATTGGGGAGGCAGGCAGTGAGTCCTAACTTGGTCCTGCAGAGTTATTTGTAGTGGACTATGCTCTTGTTAAGCTTTTTCTGAGTTTTTTTTAACTGGTGAACATATTTTCCTTGTTTAGGTTTATTATTAACAGTGCATTTCCTTAACAGTGGAATATTGAAAGGAGAACAAATAAAGTATTTTTAGAAATCTGATTTTTTAAAAAAAGGTAAAAAATGTCGTAACCTTAATCCAGTATTCACTGAAACATGAGTGAAGCCATTTGTCTGACACAGCTGTCAGCTTCTTCCAGCTGAAATAATTTCTGTATTTTTTAAGATAAGTCCTCTAAAGTAGAAAGCAGACCTCATGCACATTTGGACCAAATAAAGTACAGTGAACTGAAGACACCCTCCTATCACTCACTGTGCTGTGGAGTCTTTGGATTCCAGGCAGCAGTCTCAGCTGTCCCAGTTTAGGTTATGTTGTATCAGGATTGGCTGTATCCATGTACTGCCTCCTCCCTTTTCTAAATTTCACTGGGGGAAGGCTCAAGACAAGGATTAAATGTAGAAGCTGTCACCAGGCTTCCCCAGTGCAGCTGGCACCATGGATGAGCTTCAGAGCAGCTCCTGCTAGCTCTGTAAGCCTTCCACTCTGCCTCCTCGCTCACTATGTTTCCTCTGAAAAGATTTTGAGTACAACAATTCAAGAAGAATTCTTCTTCCCAGTTAACGCAGCTTTATTACTAAGTCTTTTACCTCTTGATTGTTGGAAAAAAATCTTTTAAAAACTGACCATCAAAAAAATAGACCTTGAAAGAAAAAGCCAGAGAAGTCAAGTAACTCAACTATACTGAGCAAAACCTAGTTGCCTTCAACTCAAGCACGTTCAGAGGAAACAAAGTAAGACCAGAGATACCTGCCATGCCTGTTGGCAGAGTCGAAAGTCCACCCTCTGCCTCTCTTCCTAGGGATAGCAACCATGAATGCCGGGTGTGCAGGGTCACCCTGGTGGGTTTGTCAGCATATGCCAAGCACATCTCCAGCCAGCTGCACAAAGATAATGTTGATGCCCATGACAGAAAAGAGGAAGAGAAAGAAGAGGCAGAAGAAGAGTACCTTGACAAAGAACTCATTCAACTAATCAAGCAAAGGAAGGAACGGAACCGGTGAGTTTTTATTTCTCCTCTTAGATCATAAATTGCTTTTAACACAGTTAGGATATGCTTCTAAGGCATAGGTGCTGATGAAACGTAAACTGCCGGTAGCCAGTGTACTTGTTAAGAGAAGAATCCAAGAGACCTATGTGGATACTGTAGTTTCAACGTGTAAACATGATTCTGCTGAATGTTCTTGTTCTGTTGATCTACTACTAGTAAGGAAGTACAACTACTCTCCATTATGGATAAAAACAGTCCCCAGTGTTGAATCTTGGGTTTTGAGAGCTCTAATGTTTTTATTTTAATATTTTATACCAATTTAAATGAAAGGCTTAATAAATGTGATGGTAGTGCTAATATTGTTTGGGGCAGGGGGTGTCTATGGGAAACTGGCCTTTGAGAAACCTGTTGCTGAACATGCTTTGTTATATAACTTTAATCTGTATTTTTAAAATGAATTGGATTGTTCTGTCAATGTCACACTGAAATACCATAATACTTGAATGAAACTTCTTACCTGTTTTATCTTACTGCTTACCAATAGCTAAACATAATTCTAGTGGCTCACTATGAAATAGAAGGCTACAGAGAGTATTAAGTATTGCCTTTTATCTTCCATGTGACTCTGCAAGTGTGCATTGCTAATATGATGTTCCCATTGGGAATATATTGTTTGAATAGATTTATGGCATGGTGATGGTATTTAAGGGATTTTTGAAAGGAGCTCTTCCTGTGGCTAGAAATTTCAATTAGTGTCTCCAAGTGCACAAATCTATGGAGATTATTTGGCTTTGACACCATTCTGTCATACCAGGGTGTCCTTGTACTGCACGATGGTCAAGTTTTCATATTTGTCTATGTAGTTGGCAACAATGTCACTTTTCCTGGTTTTATGGTAAAGGAATAATGCTGTCAGTACAGTGGTATTCTGAGGCAACTAAAATCTTAGAAAGTTGTCTCTGCTGGATGCTGGTTTGGAGGGAGAAAAAAATAAAGTACATGGATTAAGTTACTAATACAGCAAAATTGTTTCCATTAGATCATAATCTAGTTGAGTCAGCTCCTAGACCTTATGGTACAACTTAGACATCATTTCTTTAAATTCTTGTCTTAGAACTCATTTGATTTTATGCAGTAGGCCATTTCCCATTAGAGAGTAATTATTTGTGCATCTTCTAGCAAAACTGGAATGTGGTAAAATATTAAAGGGTGATACAATATGAATTTTCAGTTTACTCAAATCAATTGTTTTTGAGCAGTAGTGTGAAAGTTTCCTGTCTTGCTTGTCCAGGGATCTAGAATGAATGTATTCCTCTAATGTCAGAAAGAAGCATTTCTGTAACTAGTTTTTGGAAAAAACTTTTAATAAAAACTCCTCATAAATACGTAGACTGTTTAGAGTGCTGACCCTGGGAATAGCTGTTGGTGTTGAGGTAGTATTTATCTTTAAATGTGCATGTGATAATTTACCACGTGTTCATGATAAGTTGCCAAGCACAAGTACTATCCAAAGGGCAATAGATAGTGCTTCTGGGGGGCTCATACAGACTCAGCATTGCATGCTGTGGACTATTTGTCTGTTAGTTCAAACAAGACAAAATATTTTTGTATCTGAGGTACAACTTCTGTGGATATTTTACCTCTGTGTTTTTAACTTAAGCTTTATAAACTGAGACGTTATCTCAGTTGTTTTCTTCAGTAAGAATAACTGCTTTTCTCAGCCTAACTTTCCTTCTATTTTGTATCTATTCACTCTACTTACGCCATCTAACACCAACAGAATAGTCTTCAAAAAAAATATTTATCTCACTACTAATGAATTTTTCATCTAGCAAGATTACTCAAGTACAAAGATTATACTACAGAAAGAAGCTTTCTTTTTGTTTGTTTCTTATTAGTCAAATAACTAGCAAATTGAAAGGAATACTATCTTCTGAGTTAAACAGAAATATTTAAGAATTAGTCTATTGAACTGTCCCTGCACCAAATCAGTTGTTCTTGTAAGAGCAATTTTGAAATACCATATTTAAGTAAAGGTACAACATCAGTTTTGTAAGTCAAACACTACAGAAGCCTGAACAGTAAAGTTGCTAAATAAATTATCTCTGTTTCTTTTTATTTCAAAAAGTTTTCTTCCCAGTACAAATAAAATGCATGAGGCTTGTGTGCTATTGGATTTCAGTGGAATGGCATCAGAATTTAGATTTTTCTCAATTGTTTTGTAGACAAGCTGAACCAAGCTGTGCAAACCAAGAATTAGAATGTGATGATAGGAGATCACAGAGAAGGCGAGAAGAAAGAGCTACTTACAAAGAAAGAGAAGCTTATGATCAGTCATTGTGGCATCATCATAATACATCACAGAGGGACTGGAAGTGGGAAAAGGATGATTATATTAGTCCTAGGCAAGGCAAATTTTCACATTCTCAGAGGAACCTTAATATAAACAGACATTCAGGCGGCCCAAGGGGACGCTCTGGGTGGCATCAAAATGTTTCAGGAAGCTCTTCAAATCGGCATAACTATGGGAATTCTGGAAATGTTTGGCATCCAAGTGGACGGGGAGGAGGAACCTCAAATTGGCATCACAGTGCCAGGGAGAGAAATTCTACTTGGCACTCAGAAGGAACAGGTCATTTTTCTAGCTGGAATTGCAAGAGTTATGGAGGAAACTGGAAATCTAGTCCTCATGGTGCAAATGGCTGGAATTTTGGAAGCTCAGGAGATACATATTCAGTAGAGCCAATTAAATATAATAAGGAAAGATATACATGGCAGCGGCAGGAGAAAGATATGGACGCTCTGCCATACAGAGATCGAAAAAAAAGGAGTGACTTGGTTGATTTTACTAGTGATAAACTTCCTTCTGAGGGGGCATTGGATTTTGGTACGTCGAAGCAACCAGAAAGCAAAACTTCAAGAGCCAGTGGAAAAAGTGGCAGTCCTTCCAGAGATAAAATGTATCGCTGGACTCCCTACCCATCCCAGAAAGCTGCAGAGCAGCAACCACGGTCTGAAGATAACGTTTCTAAAACTCCCGATAAAACAGATTCTGCATTTATGTCTCATACTGATTCATCAATGAAAGGAAAAACTTGTGAAGCCAATGTTAGCCTTTCAAAACTTAAAAAACTGGAAGCATCTTCCCCTTCTAATGTAACCTCAGATCACCTTGATTCTTGCAGGGTAATGAAAGACTGTTCCAGTGGTGAAAAGCCTGGCAAAGATGATGGCAGAAGTAATAGGATGCCATCACTGAAATCCCCTCTTCTGAATATCACAGATAGGAAGCTATCTTCCCCAAAGCAGGACACAAACAGTCTCCTAAAAAATGTCAAGCCACTGCTATCATCAACTAGTGGTGAAGAGCAGAATCATTTGAATGCACTGAACGTGGAAAAAACCAGTTTCTCTTCTTATTCATCAAAGCTGCATGGTGCAAGTCCTGGTAACTTACAAGACAACAAAGATGTTCTTGCTGGCAATCTTGGAGAGTCTGTTAATAGCTTAAGTGAAGCAGAACAAAACCCCAAAGATGTTCAGTCCAACCATTCCTTGCAAAATGCTCCCTTAAGCTCTTGCAAGAATACAAGTGACCAGAATAGGGAAGGAACTGGGAAAGCATCGCCAAAGAACGAGTTCAGACTAGATTCATTAGAAGATGTGAGCGATGATGATTTAACAGGAAGTGAGAAGTCAGAAGCAAGAGTTGAAAAGTTGGGTTCTTCTGTTAGTTCTTGTTTACCCTATGACACTCCAGAAGTTAAACCTGCCACCTCTGAAAAGGTAGATGATGAAAAGCCGGCTGCTTCAAGTATTGCTTCTGCTGATGTAAAAGATTCTACTTTTCAGATGGAATCCACAGTTTCTCCATCAAACGGTCAGGACCATTTGCATGTGGATTTGAAAACCTCCTCACAGGATGGAGAAGAGGATGAAGAGCCTGTCAAGTCACATGATCACTTTGAAATGGAAGGTTTTGAAAATCCTTCAGATCATGAGCTGCAAAAAGGAGGAAGCCAGTCACTAGGCCTCCTTCCTGATTTAAGCAAATTTGGCCTCCCTGCCTCTCTGCAAAGAGACCTGACACGACATATTAGTCTGAAGAGCAAAGTCGGGACACATCTTCCAGAGCCCAATCTCAATAACGCACGGCGCATTCGGAATGTGAGTGGCCATCGGAGAAGTGACACCGAGAAAGAATCGGGGCTTAAACCCACCCTCAGGCAGATTCTCAGTGCTTCCCGGCGAAATGTAAACTGGGATCAAGTCATTCAGCAAGTAACCAAGAAGAAACAGGAACTTGGCAAAGGTTTACCAAGGTTGGTAGCTTTCAGAGTAACCATGCCTCTCTCTGTGCATGTTGAGGGGGGGAGGGTGGTTTTTCTCCAAATCTGAAATGAATTCAAGAATCCTAAAACTAGGTCTTCAGAATGAAGCTTGCCAAACAATGATCTTTTGCATATACAAGTAATGTAGAGTGTTTATGATTGCTTGCTGCTGTAAGTAATAGTAGTGTTGTGGTTTAATCCAGCAGGCAGCGAAAACAACCACACAGCTGATGCTGCTAGCAACAACCAAAATACTAGTGTGTTATCAGCATTATTCTTATCCTAAATCCAAAACACAGCAATATACCTGCTACTAGGAAGAAAACTCTATCCCAACCGAAAGCAGGAAAAATATTCTGATCAGTTCATAATTGTTGCTTGATATCTGAATATGGACACTAGCAATATATTTGCTTTTCAAGTTCTAGTAAGTGGAAGGGGGGTTGGAACTAGATGATCTTGAAGGTCCCTTCCAACCCAAACCATTGTATGATTCTATGAAGAATGTAAAAATGCCATCAGGATGTGAACAATCCTGTGACAGTCACTTATTTCTTCATTTATTCAGGACTAGAAGAAATGCTTGCATTGCTGCAGGCAGAATAAATGCTCCTCCTTCATTTGTTAATCTTTTAATCCGATATGCAATTTGGGTTTGTGTTTAGAGGTAGCAATTATATAATACTTCACTTTTGAAACTTTCTTTAAACTTGAAGTTTTTGAAGTGTCTTGAAAAGATGTCATATTTGCTTATTTGAAACTTGGTTTGGAATAATTACAATAATACAATTTCAGATTTTGAAATCATGCTGTCAGTTCGTAGCCACTAAATCTAATTTTGTGATATGCAAAAGATATTCCATTGCCAGATGAGACAGAAAGCTCAGAATACCAGTGTAATGAGTTGCCAGATCTCTTAAAGTAGTAGTGTGCATTTTGGGAAGGGGGAGGCTTTTTTCTGGATTTAGCTGGCTTGTTATGTTTGTATTTATTTTTCTTTTTATCTTGTTAAAGGTTTGGCATAGAAATGGTACCTCTTGTTCAAAATGAGCAAGAGGGTCTAGAACTTGGTGAAGAATCTGACCTGTCTACTCTGGAAGGATTCCAGTGGGAAGGGATTTCCTTAGCAGTGCCTGGCTCAGCCAGAAAACGTAGTTTTTCTGAAAGCAGTGTCATTGCAGACAGAAATCCTTCTGCTTATAGCTTCTTCAGTGAAAAAGCCAAAATAAAAGAAAGTGGGCAAAGGCAAATAATTGCAGCCAGTCACTCCCATCACATAACATCTGGGTATGAGGCAAGCGCTGACATTGAGGCTGACTTGAAACAGGAGACCTCTTCTCTTCCTTTACCACCATTTATGTCTGAAAGAACCGAGACTAGTGGAAGGAGACGCAGCCTACAGGCCACCTCTGAGGTCACAGGCCTCACAAAACAAGACCAGGAGAGCCCAGAGAAGAGAACACCGCTTCTTGAAAAACAAAATGTGCTAGAAATCTCAGAAGAAAATCGTCCGGCTTCAAATAATCCTTCACTACTTACTGTGTCTAATAACATAGATGCAGCTACAGACAGTAGCTGCACATCTGGTACTGAGCAGAATGACAGCCAAGGAATTGGAAAGAAACGAAGAGCAACTGGAGTAAGTGTGCAATTTTGTCCGGCTTTGGTGTGCTAAAAATGTTTTTTCACTGTCAATGGTCATTCAACTTTGGAATGATCTCTTTAAGGAGGACTTTCTCCATTTGATTGTCTTGTACATGATAGAGTCAGACTAGTTTGCTTATTTGACTTAATTTTCGTTAAGAATCTTTTCCATTTCTGCCTTCCTGAATAGACTAGAGAATTGGGCGGAGAGGAACCAAA